GGTTGATGGCGGAGAGGACAAAGGTGGTCAGGGCGAAGGCGCTGAGGCCGAGAGGGGCCGGGTTGGCGATCTTGCGGTTCTCGATGGCCTTGTACAGACCGGGCTGGAACTCACCACCGAAGGCAGGGAGGCGAGCATCGTTGCCGCTGTGGGCGTGGGCGAGGGGGTTCCCGTAGTTGTTGTTGTAGCGCTGGGCAGGCTGGGCATTGTGGTTGGCACCGTTGGCGTCTGCGCCCGAGGTGTGAGGGATGTCCTTCTCGATGTTTGCGTCCGTCATTTTGGCCCACCCTTTTGCCTCTTCCGAAGCTGGTTCTGACCTTTGGCCTGAAGTTGCAAGAGAGAACAGGGCAGTAGGCGACACGGCAGGGATTGGTGGGGGCGGACTGGGACTGGCTGACTGTTGGGTCAAGAGAAGGGGGAAAAAGAATCAGGAGAAGGCGGCGTGGGGAGATGGGGAGACGGGGAGAGCAGGACCTGATATAGGTGGAGTCTCAACCCCAGGCGACGATGGACCCTTTTGGCCCCGTTGCTGAAGCGCAGTGGATCGTCCGGGGGGAATACTGTCCTGCGACTCTGCCAGTGTGTGTGTATTACTGTGTAGGTGCAGAGCTGGGGCTAATCGGATGGGCGGACAGAGACTGCGCGACGGAATGCTGGATGAAGTCTAGCCCGGGAATAATAACGACAGGGACTATGGAGCATGGATGGCGGAAGGGGTGTGTGTGTTCAAGGGGCCAGATTGGGGAAAGGGCGGCACAGGTGGGTGACGATTATAATGATGATGATGATGATGATGATTATTGCTAATTGATAATTGACGGGCTTGTTGGAACTACGATACACACACACACACACACACACACACACACACACACACACACACACACACAACGCACGACAACATTGGGTAGGGCACTGTACACGTACACACCTGGCAGATGTTGCCCTTGTATGATGATATATAAAAGTGGGGGGGCACCTCGGTCTGGGGGAAGGAAGCGACGGACTGGAGGACCAAGAGCACAGACAGACAGACAAACAGACAGACAGAAGGAAGAAAGGAAGAACGGTAAGGCAGGAATGGAAGAATGTTGGGTGGGTTGTGGGGAAGAAGCAGGTGGGTGGGTCCATGTACCTGCCATGTAGATGATGTACCCTAGACCCTGCACACATGCACCTGCATCCATCCTGCCCACCCGTCAGCCCCGTGTCCAGCTCGCGGTGCTGACGGGCTGGTTGCTTGGGTGCCATCGTGTTGCAATTGACTTTGGCCCGTCTGCCACCTGGCGCTGCTCCCGACAGATACCAAGCCGGTATCTCACGCCAGGCGCCACCAAGCTTCAAGCCTCAATGCTTCTTCTTGCTGCTCATCCCGCGCCCGTCATGGGGGGGCATCCGCGTCGGCAGCAGCCGCATCCGAATCGCACTCGGCCGCCAGTGTGTGTTGACGTGTGTTGACGTGTGTGTGCGTGTGTGTTTGTGTGCGTTTGTGTGTGTGTGCAAAGGTGAGTCGTGTCCCCCCTCCCCCTGGGCTGATCATGATCAGCTTTGCCGACCCGAGCTGGGACGACACTGGCCCTCGTGTTGGGGTAGACAGCCTTTCCGCAGGCACAGGTACGGGGTACAGGTACGGGTACAGGTACACACGGACGACCATCGGCCATCGACCATCGGCCCATCCCAAGCCGCCCAGGCCGTGCCAGGAGAGGAGGCGAGAGGGGGAACCGGGGAATCTGGGGTACGCCCACCAGGCGCGCCCTAGCTCTTGCGTCCCGGACGAACGGTTTGACACGCCATTTGCTGCCGTCCTCTCCTCTCTCCTATTCTGCTCTGCTCCCCCAGACCCGGCCCACAGTCCCTCGCGCATGCGCATGCGCGACAATGTCACCTGCGCCAGCTCGAGACCATCCACCACCCCATGCTTCCGGGGCGATAAACCCACCGCTTCTTCCAGCAGTATCCCAGCAGTCCTTTTCTCCTCGTTTCCGAGGCCGCGGTAGAGCGGAGCTGGGAGAGGCGCAGGGTTTCCCCCCCCCCCTTCTCCTTCCAAATGTTCTTTGCTCCTCCTCTACCAACACATTGGGCCTTTTCAGTCCCGCTCTCGTACCGAACCGCCCGAGCAACTCTGCGAGGCTAACTACGTAACCCTCGAACCTGTACAAGTCTTGCCTGTACACAGCGCCGGATTATCCTATTCTGCGGGCTGTGGTAGATTGCATCTTTGGATTGCTCCTGTAATTGGACAATGGGCCAGCCAGGGCCGTCCATGCAGGCCCCCGAGATGCCCTCGGTCGCGCCTCCTCGGCCTTCCAGCCCACCATCTCACCACACCCGTCCAGCCGTCTCCATCTGCCACCCCCCCGCGAGAGAATCAACCGTTGGAGCTGGGCCCTTCCTTGCTCTGCCCATGTGGCAGCCTCCCTGATGAAGCTTGTTCTGCAACAACCTCCCTCCAGGCAGCCAGACCGTCAATGCACCAAGGCTGCAAGGGCATCTGTTTACCGTGGTAGTGTACTGCAGTCTACTGTGGCACACAGCACCTGCCACGCTGCTACACTGCAATCTCGTCTCATAAATGCGATCGTCCTCATCCTTGCCCGGCCTGGGCCTGCAGCTGCGTTTGACGCCCCAGCTTGAGGTCGCATCCCCCGGATCCAATGCCTAGGGCCGTCAATCACAGCCCAGCCCCTGGCGGCTAAAAGAGCCCGACGGCGGCGTGACTCCGGCTGTGTCTGAATTACATGGCTGCGACGGCCATGCTGCCGTCCTTTCATACTAACGGTACTCGTTCCCCGTCACCATGTCAGCCCGTCAGCCGCACATCGCTTTATTTCCCACCACACCTTCCTCTACGTCTACCCGCACCAAGTCCCGTGGAACCATGCCAGGTTATTGATTCTGTGCTGACTACACAGGGACGCCATGTCGGGGAAATTGCACCAACAACCAAGGGCTCCCATGGTGGGCGCCATGGTCCCTGCTGCCTGTTCCAACCCCCCCCCACCAACGTCAACAACAACAACGGCAAAAACGAAACGAAAAAGAACAAACTGGCTTGTACTGGTGTCAGACCCGGCTTTTTGGTCTAACCATTCAAGCGAAAAGATGATCAGGCGATGTGATACCCCATCCGGCAGTCCGTATCTTCTTTCTGCCCCTGTCTGGGAGAGCCTACATCTCACTGGCAACACTGCTTCTCTGCCTGCTCAAGTGATGTTCCGGAATCTTGTGCTACGCCTTCCTCCCCGACCTTGGTGGTCTGTAGGCCTTGACAGGCTTCGTTACTTTCATTCGTTGGATAGGCACAAACGACCGAGGACTCTTTCCACGCACGCACTCTCCAGCAAGCCTCGGTGGCCAGACAGTAGGACCACTCACTCCACGACGCAACATGAACGGCAACTCCACATGTCGCCCGTGCAGCGCGGCTTCGATCCCATCTTGCCCCAATAGACGTGTTGCGCCCCAGGTCGTGGTGATGTCGGCGTCAGTAGGAGCTCCCGCGCATCACGGTGCCTCCAGCCATGCCGCTGTGCACACGCTACTTGCTTCGCTCTCTTTGTTGTTGTCGAGTGGAGAGGGGCTTGGGCTAAGTCTGTGCTTTGACGGCCGTGCAGATGCGTTCAGTCAGCGTCTCGTCGCTTGGCCCAGAAGAGGCGTGCAAGTTGTCCGGGTCATACACACTCTGCTGTGGCAGGCGCCCATGGCACGTCACGGCCTATTCTCACTGAGCTTCATCTAGGAGCGGAGAGGTCGGCACTGCTAGGTAGTCTTCCACCACGGCATTGCGCGTCCATAGTCTCACCCAAGCCGCTAATAGCTCGCGCGCCGAGACGAGAGCCGGCAGGTGACGTGAGCCCCCCCCCCTCCCAGGGCACGACAATTGTGGCTGCAGTGGTGTCATCCTTGCCAACGATTGCCGCTCTACTTGGTTTCAGCACTGGCAGCGTCATATCTACGGACTCTCCAACCACATAAAACCAGGCAGGCGAGGTATCTAGACGTCGATAGCATATCGTCGCGGCCTCCGACACTCAACGAGCAACCCCATTTCCGATCTTATCCAATCCATTGCAGACCCAACGGCCAGCCCTCACAATGTCCACTCCCAATGTCCAGAACTTGGAGGAACAGAACGCGGCCTATGCCGACAGGTTCACTCAGGGCCATCTCGCGCTGCCACCAGCCAAGAAATATCTAGTCGGCAAGCCTGAGCCCATCCGCCCGCAGTTATTCGCTTTGTACGTGGTTGACAAGTGTCTCAGTAACGTGCATGGACGCTCGAATCGACCCCGCTGCAGCGTTTGGCATCTCCCTGGGCGATGCCCACGTTGTTCGCAACGCCGGCGGCAGTGGGAGGGAAGCGCTGCGAAGCATCATCATCTCGCAGCAGTTGCTCGGCACCCATGAAATCATCTTGGTCAAGCATACTGGCTGCGGCATGTTGACCTTTGCCAACGAGGATGCACATGGCCTCGTGGCCAAGAGACTCGGCGCCACCGCCGCCGCCGAGATCGCAACACTGGACTTCTTACCCTTCACAAGCCTGGATGATGCCATACACGAGGACATCGACTTCCTCAAGAGACAGTCAGCTGTCCCAAAGGACGTGACCATCACAGGCTGGGTGTATGAAGTTGAGACAGGCAAGGTCAGACAGGTCGTCTGACAGGAAGACGAGACTCAATGCGTCGGTTGGGTTGGCGAGGGAGTCCTACTATACCTTGCCAGTGGTGCATCGCATGGGCCGCAGGTGCACCTTTGCGTACTACAGTCTACAGTCTAGCCCTGATATTCCATGCCTTTTACTTACAACCAAGAACCAGCCACAAGTGTCACAATACCTTCGCCGCCACCAAACCCCAGCCACCAAATTCCAGCCATGACATTCATGTAGACTTCTCATGCTTTATACCAACTTCTTCCGCTTTGCTTCGCCCCTTGCCGAAGGGAGGCCAAAAAGAAACTAACCTCAACCACAGGAGCTACTTCAGCGGTGCTGCCCATTACTGGAATCGAACCAGTCACCTCATCATTCCTCTAGTTGAACTTCCTGTAGTTGAACTACTAGTGATGCGCTCTACCGATGAGCTAAACGGGCGTGGTGTCGTAGCCATATACAGGATATAAGTTTACTATGTGCAACTTTGATTATTCTGTATTTTTTTGGTCAACTTTTTGTTTATCTATCTGCTATCTGCTTAGCTTTTCTAACTACCCTTTAGCCTAAAGCTCTTGTATTTCTTATTATATCCTAGAGCTGTCTATATATATTTTAAGCTAAATGCTATAGATAATAGTATTTTATAAGTACTGTTATTAGTATTGTTTTTTCCCCAATGCTGTTAGGGCTGATGGGCTAAACGCCCGCAGGACCTGACCAGTGGGTCCGTGTACATAGCTTGTTTTATCAGCCCAACTGGCCTCCAAAACCAGAGCCACGCCATTTCGCAGCTTTGCTGCCCTTTCCGTTCTTTTATTTAGGCAACCATAGCTGTATCACAGTACTTCACAGTCAACTTGTGCCTTCATTGCCATAGGACTTGAGGACCGTCTCAAACGCTGGGTGTCTAAGCGTTCGCTACTATATGAAGGGACTGCCTACATACTCCTTAAAAAGCATATATATACGGATTAAAATCGAAACCACTTCCACTACTTGCGAGAGATTGTCTGGTCGCCCATGGCTGTGCAGGGGCAGAAGACAGGTATCCCGGTGGGTTGAGAAAGAACTTCTTGAGCAGGGCCTGGTCAAAGGGCACAGGCCAACTGCAAACACCAGATGCCATGAGACCATTGGGGGTGAATGACGGGCATGACACGGAGGCACGGTAGGGCAGTGGGTGTGGAACCCGCCACTGTTGACATCGCTGAGTACTTCGGTCATGGTTCACCACAGATGTCTGTCTTGGGCCATTATCACTTCATGTCCCCTCTCCAATCACCCCAGCAGTGCCCATACAGCGAGGCCAGCAAGTACACAAGCAGTAATGCGGACTCGATGCGGATTAGAACTTCACCAGTCCCCTTTCCAGTCAGGCCTGGGTCAGGCCTCAGCTCCCTCAGGGATATGAGCTCGAGTATCTTGAAGACCGGCCCAAAATGAAGACACACGGAAGGAATGGTCCGGCTTGTGAGGTCTGAGTCCCAAAATCTCCATGAAACGGCGGCTATGTTCCCCCAATCATGATTGCACATTGTGTCCAAGACTCTGGGAAGGTTACCTAGGCACCAAGATCTCGGGCTTGGTCGCCCGACTAAATCTATCAACAAGGAACAAACCCGCACGGGAGGCTCACCGCCCTCGTGTGATGGTAGCAGCCAGCAGAAGGCGTCAGTTGACACCCAGTATGACCTGTCCCACTGCTTGCCTCCCATCAGCGCTCCATAGTATTACAGGCCCATCTGGCCGGGAAAGACTGCACCGGCCTTCACAGCAAACTCTTTCAAGAGGGCTGGTTGACCATGGTTAGTCGGATTAGCTGGCAAACAGACCAGGCATAGCAGGGAATGTGAATATGTCTTGTAGGGTCGGCAGAGGCCGACAAGAGACAGGTGGGAACATGTGTGCAGGGTCCAGAGAGCTTGCCCCATGCAAGGCAGGCCCGGACGAGTGAGGAGGAAGGGGGGATGGCAAAGGACGTTCCAGGCTCGGGGCGCTTCTCTGCTGCAATGGCCAGGCCGCCATTCTACGCACGACAGGGTATGAAGACCGGGGACCGATACATCTCATCACCGTGACCTTCCAGCTCATTGCACCAAAGCACACATTGGCATCAACACCAGGTAAAAAACCACTATGACACACATCCCCTCCATCTCACATGGGCACTCTCAGAATGGGCGCTATGCCGTTGATGCAGGACTAGTGAGCATATTCATACACAGCCCAGGCCCTGGGGTGTCCCATTCCTGGACCTCGCTTGAATCCTCTCTCCTTGGTCCTTCCCATCTCCCTTGTCGTTTTATATCGATTCTACCATACAGTGTGACGTAGTCATCCCCCCGTCTTGTTCATCTTTATTGTGCTGGGTTGGGTATCAACAAAGCTGCAGTGGCATTCACTTCCACTGATCCTCTTCTTCTCTCCAAATCCGTGTGATGCTTTGGGGTATCTGTGATGGTACAGGACGTAGACAAAAGAAATGGTGGCAAGGTGACCGGTCAATCGAGAAAATTCGAATACGCAAAAGAAAGAAAGAAAAGGAAAAAAAAACAAAAAAACACGAGAAACCCGAATAAGGGTACCGTATAAGAGAGAAGAGGGCAGAATGCCTGAACCCAGCCCAGGTCTAATTCGCCCCTTCCTGAAATCTCACAAAACGCCAAGTGTAAAAAGAAACATGAAAACCAAGAACGCAAAATTCTTCCCCAGGCCGAACACAGCAGAGGCGACAAACTAACAACCTGTCCCACAGACGTAAAGGAAAAAGGCGATAGCCCAGAGTGGTGATGTGTCATCTGTTCAGCATAATCGACGAAGGTAAGAAGAACGGGGGAAATAACAAGAGCAGAAGCACAAACAAATATCCCATCTAACCCCGTTGCTCCTCTCCCATCCACCGTCAACTTCCATCGCCCGACAGCACTATGCCACTATCTCTGTCCTGAGTGCTTTTAGCACCGGTTTCTTGTTCTGCCGGCCGCAATCGTTCTATGCGCAGCTTCATAGTATCGTCAGGGTCCCGGCCGCCATCACCGTCCGATTGGCCGTACTCGCTGTCACTGCTGACACGGCGCTGGTTGGACGGGTGGTCCCATAGTTGCGCCCCATCGTAGACGTACGGCTGCTCGCCGTCCTCGGGTAATGCACGACCGTCGACTTCAAACTCGCTGACCCTGACCTGATAGTCCAGGGCCCTCTTGCCTTCCCTGATGAGCTCTTCGGTCCACCCGAGACATCTCTTAAGGCTTTGGTTCATCTTCTGGCTGTCGACAAGAAGCTGTTGATGCTTCGAGAGGTCGACTTGGAGGCGTTTCTCGTCGCGCTTCCTGTGTTGGGCGTCTCTCATCGCAATCGTGCTAGGGCTCATCTGCCCAGACCCCCCAGAGTCCGACTCTGACAGCTCGGACTCGCCCAGGGACTCGTCGTCGGGCTCCGTCCCAGAGTCCTCCTCGCTCAGATCTGGCAGGCCGAGGTTGTTCAAGGGGCCTTCTGGGGCCTCGCTGGTGGTGGAGGTCGACGGAATGCGGGACGAGGCAGCAGTGTTGGCAGACGAGAGCCGACCGGCCCTCGTCAGTCGCTTGTACCGCCGCAGCTCGTTGGTTTGTTTCCGCAGCTGCCGTTCCAGGGTCCGATTGATAGCTTCCAGGGACGCATTCGTTATTTGCAGGTCTTGGACTTTCCGCTCCCTCCTCGCGTTGGCGACCAGCTCATTGAGTGGATCATTGCCACTGGCCGACTTTGGGCTCGCCAGGCCGGAGACCACGGAGTCATTTTCATCCTGGCTGCTGGCCAGCTCATCCGCGGCCTCGAGCACAGATGCCATGGATATTGCCGGGTTTGAGAACGTCAAGGGCGATGGCAGGGGCGAGCTGGCGGGCGGGCTCGAAATAACGGCGCGTGTGACAGGTGGAGCTTCTGCCGCCAGGCTCCCAGAGCGCGAGTGCCCTGACGCCTTCCTGGGAGGAGCCTCTGCGCTGACACGCCTCAAATCGTTCGAGTTGGCCCGACCTAGCTGAGGTGCGGACGTGAGCATACTGCGCCTTTCCGCTATCGAAGGGCCGGCCGAGGACTGGGACTGGAGCTGGGGCTGAGGCTGGGGCGGAGGAGGTGCATAGCCTGTGGCCTTGGCCGGTGACGGCATCCTCTGTGACGACGGAGCTGGTGACTGCGGGCCAGCACCATGCTTGCTTGCAGGCATCCTGGAGGGGTTCGAGTGGGCAGGGCCAGGCCCGGACTTCATCAAGCTGGGCTGAAGGTCGGGGGAGCCGTTGGCGTACATAAACTTGCTGGCCAAGGGGTCCGGGGTTGAAGAGACGAGAGGCGGCGAGAAGGGCGCGGACGGGACGGATGTGGGTGGACTGGGTTTGGGAGGCAGGTTGCTGCCATTGGCATAAAAGAAGGTCGGGCCCCTTTGCGGTGGTGCTGGCCTGGGGCCAGGAGCAGCGGCATGGGCGGTCCTGGAGGCATCGCTGGCATAGAAGAACTTTGAGTCGCGCGGGGCGACAGCCGTTTCACCCCTCTGCAGAGGAAGGGCACCAGCATCGGAGTCGAGGGCAGTGCCCGAGATGCCCAGGCCTGACCGGGTCTCCCAGTGATCGGCAGCGGCGGCGTCTGCGGGGGACGGGGACGCATTGGCACTTGTGACGCGACTCTGGCGGGAGCCAGACCTTGGGGTGGCGTTGTTCTGGAGGGCGGTGGTCGTAGCATGGCTGCCATGGCTGCTGTGGCTGACGACAGAGGAGGGGCGAGCAGACCTCCGAGGAACAGGAGTGGCAAGTGTGACAGTCTGCCGCTGAGGGGTGGAGGCGGAGGCGGAGGCGGAGGCGGTCGAGGAGGGAGCTGGTTTGCCGGCGAGCTTGGGGGTGACGGGCAGGCGTTTCGCGAGGGAAGGGGCGTGGAGGGGTGGAGGGTGGCGTGATGAGGTGGTTGAGGATGATGGCGCGGCCGTGGAGGAGCGTTCGTAGGGCATCCTGCCTGAGGACGAGGCGGGCTCTTTGGAAGAGGAGGATCGGGAGGTGTGTAAATTCCTCATCGTGTTGGCAGCATCTTGTCGGATGGTAAGGGCACTCCGCGTGGGCACGAGGCTGAAGCTGAGGCTGAGGCTCGAGGTCAAGAGGCGCGGGAGCGTGGTGGTGGAGGTCGGCGAATGGCGTTTAGGGGCAGCGAGGATGCCCAGTACAGGAGGTGGTATTGTGGGCGAGAGAAGGAGAGGAAAATGCGGGTCGAAGACGGGTGCAAGTGCAGGTGTGGACTGGGTTCGGATGCAGATGTCGAAGTCGACGGGCGGCGTCGGTGTGGTGTAGGCGATGTTGGCGTCGGACGGGGTCGGGAGCAATGCGAGGCTGTGCCGCGGGGGGGGGGGTGAGGGTGTCGTAAGGCGTACTTCCTTGAGTGAGGGTGAGTTGGGTGATGGAATCCTGCGCAGAGAGGGATTG